AACAGAACAACAAAATAACCACAGCTGTGACTAGATACATTCTACCCTACGGACAGAGTGGTACCACAGCTGTGGGGCCCACATCAATGTTCTCTACAGTATTAGAGCAGGTGATCCTACATAAATGGCCCAAGTTGTTGCATTAATCTGTGTAACAGGGAAATTATGTCTATAGATGATAAAATCATAAAAGTGTTTGGAAGGCAATTCGCCATTCTCAGGTGTTAAGCTTAGGAATGAATTAATTTATTTTTTTATCAGTACCAAGAATAGATTTTATTAATAGAAGAAAAGATTGGGCAGCCTCGGCTACCCCATTACAAAGAAAGGCATTACAAGATAGCACAACAGTAAGCATGACTTAAGCATTACAACTGAACCCAAAAACAGTGCCCTGTTAACCCCTTTCTTTGCTAGTTGATCTGCAATATTATTGTCCGACCTTGGCACCCACTGAAATTCCACCTGCCTATTACTTAACAATCTTCTGACCTTTTTGATCTCATTCTGAAAGTACCATGGGGCTTTTTCAGACTGTTTCAGCCAACTGATGACTACTTTTGAATCTCCTACTATCAATTTATTGACTCCTATTTTCAACAGCTTTTTGTATCCCAAATGCCATAGTATTCCACTCTGCCGTTATGGAGTCCCCTGGGCTGAGAGGGCTGGAATATAGTCCCAAAATTGCTCCACTATCATCTCTTATCACCCCTCCTATTCCGGAGGGGCCCGGATTACCCAAGCTGCTTCCATCAAAATTTAGTTTAAGGAAGCCATTCACCGGTGGATCCCATGATTTTATCAGTTTCCTCTTGAACGAGATGAAGCTGCTATTATCTTCCAGTTTCTGTTACATCATCACTAAAGTCTGAAAACAGACTTAAAGCCTTAACCCAGTGTGCCACCCTTACTAACCACTTCTATAACATCTTCCTCCTTTTCTTTTCCTCAAAAATTCTCAGGTTTCTTTCCTCCCAAATGGCCCATATGACTGCTGCCCCCACCCTCTTTTTTGGCCATTTGAAAATACAAAGGTCAAACAACCTGTCCAGACTTCCTAGAGTGTTCCACCTGCACCCAGAGAGTGAGAAAAACCAATACCAAATACAACAAGCAAAAGGACATGAGATGAGAACATGATGAGCAGTTTCACCATTAGATTCACACAAGTAGCACCAATTTGGGGAGATTCACCATCCTGGTCTCTTTCTCTGTAATAAATCACAGATATTGATTGCACCATGGAAGACCTCCCAACAAAAAGCACCTATCTTGGGGGGAATAGGTTGACACCAGATTTCTTTAAATGGGAAAGACAAAGGAGGGGGAGTGGAAGAAGTCAAAGACTGAAAGGAGGCACAGCTAAAGGATTCAAAAGGGTTTAGAGTCCAGAAACGACCATCTCCTTTGCTAGTGTAAAGAAAACCCCATCGAGAATTTGCAAAAGGTTTGAAACAAGGTCCAACTCTGAGTTTCCCACATTTCTACACAAACCCAAATTCCAATCAAAACTAGAGGGAGAAGGTGAAGGGGTCAAAAACTCTGAAACTGGTTTGCCTTTGAATGGAGACAGGGCAAAAAGAGAAGGAAAGGACTCCTTTAGGGGAGCTTCACCCACCCATAGATCTTCCCAAAATTTAATTTTATTGCTTGAATTGAGATCAAACCTGGTGTGTGCAAGGAAGAGTGGAAGAACTTTGTGAATGAATTTCCAGAGAGAAGCACTGGAAGCCCTACTAGAAATTCCAGCATCCCAACCATTCTTTGAGAGCCCATGAATGCTAGCCACCACCTTATGCCACAGTTTCTCTGTTTCCTACATAAATCATCAAAGCAATTTTCCTAGGGGTGCCGAGTTCTTCTCTTTCAGTCTCCCTAAACCTAAACCTCCCAACTCCTTCCTTTTGCACACTATCTCCCATCTAATTAAATGATCTTTCTTTGCCTCCCCCGGTTCCCACAAAAAATCCCTCATAAGTTTTTCTGATCTTTTAATAATGGCTTGGAGCATGCGAACTATAGATAAGTACTATACAAGGAGATTTGCTAAGGTGGACTTAATGAGTGTTATTCTACTCCCCAGAGAAAGGTAATTTCTCTTCCACACAACCAACTTCTTTTCGAACTTCTCCACCACCGGGTTCCAAAAACTTTATAGGCTTTGCACCAAGAGGAATGAATTAATTTATTTCACAGCCAAGATCAGGTACTATCCCATTTTGAAGTTTACACTCCATCAAATCCAATTCTCTCATAGGATGCACTTTATCTCCTTAAGTTCATTCTAAAATCTTTTCCTAGACCTTACAAGACAATCCATCAGCATCACCATGTCATCATTAATAATCTCTTAAATGCATGAAGTCAAACAATCACAAGAAAAGTATCTGCATAATGTGGGCCTTAACTGCATGCTTCTCTTAAATAAATTGCCTCAAAATGTAGAATCATAATCTGATAGAAAGGTAAAGAGTTAATACCTCATGACATCATAAATTGCAAAAGCCTCTGTCTCATAACCTAACTTCTCCCCTCCCTAGAAAAACAGGGTGAATTTGTCAAAGGTAAAGAAGTATTACATTGATAAGCTTAAGAAATTCTGCATGCATGAGGAAGAAACATTTTTCTAATAAATTGAGCAAAATAATTATAAAATAAAGGACTCTAGTAAATATGCAGCAATATATGGGGGAAATCAATACAAGCTTCAGTAAAGATGAGGCAGATCTTGTGGGCTCTTTGGAAGGAAAGAAACTGTTGAATTTTAGACAACAAATGTTCTGATTTAGCTTCAATTAAGAACAAAATTATAGGCTTTCCCTGTTCTTGGTTAAGTGTACGAAGGGCTTTCAATTGTGTCCAGATTTTATCTTTTTTGCAAGCTGGACTTCTTTTTCACTGAATTCTCAGGTGTTTCTTTGTATATTCCCATGTACAGGCTCTCATTGTACATGGGCTGATGTATTTGGATTTCACTTTTAATACAATTGAATACTACCAAAAAAAGGATGAGGCAGATCTTGTTCTTACAAGCATAGGGAGAAAAATCCCACCAAAGCAACAACTCATATGATGATAATTTGTTGATGATATGAATACTTAAAAGACTAAAAAAAATCAGAAAAGCAATTTACTACCCCACATAAATAAACAAAAATATCAGAGGTGTGATGCATTTGAAAAGGATCGTGCACTTCTATAGAAAGTGAGAACATTACATATGCAGTAAGAATAACTGAAGGAAAGCCCTACTGCAGCCAAAAAAGCATTCATCATCTATATGCCTAGTCATTTCATTTATGTTTAAATAATTATTCCAACATCCAGTAGCCTAGGCATCCTTTTGTTGTGTTGTCTGTGTATAAAATGATGCTTCAGAGCTCATATAAATTTAGGCCCTGTTTGGTAGTACTGAACTAATTTTAAAGATAATTCCTTTTGCCAAGATTTAAATAAAGAATAGCATTTACCTTGGTTGTCCCAGTGGAGTTCATGTATAGGTAAATTGGCTTCTGATCATCCTCATACTGAAGGTATAAAAATTCTGCTAGGATCAATTCTGTGACAGAAGGAACAAGAGACATGCCCAAGTATACAATTCGATTCTTATACAGATAAGATGCTAAATCAGGAGGAGGCTGCTCCCATGCACTTCCTCTCAAGAAAGGAATAACCTGTAAACGAGATATGCAGACAAAAAAACAGAAGATCAAGAAAATGGTTGGTGAAGCAACAGAAAACAAGAAGAATCCAGGGGGATCTCATTTCTTTTATATTAAGAAGAATAAAGATGCATAACACTCATTGGGCTGCATCAAAAAAGGGGTGGGGGGGGGTCTGGGGGACGAAGCCCCCCAGCTGACGGGGCAGGGGGCAAACCACTTTCTTTCCCCTTATCTTTTCTTCCCTTCCCTTTCCTTTTCGTTTCTTTCCTTTTCTCTTTTTTCTTCTCTTTCTTTTTCTTTCCCTTCCCTTTCTTTTCCTTTCCTTTCCTTTCCTTTTTTTTCTTTCTTTTTTTTTCCGTCTTTTTATATAAGATGTACATGAGGCACATGAGGTGTACGCCTCTAGCACGCCTCATGAAAAAAGCGCATGAGGCATACGCCTCAGAGGTGTCAATGCCTCTGGCATACGCCTCAGGGCGTTTTGGTATATAAAACTATGAAACTGACCTAGAATTTAGGGCATTTTGATAATATTACTTCTTTTCTACTCATATGCTTGTTGAGGTATACAAAACTATGAAACTGACCTAGAACTTAAGGTTTTCAAACTAACATTAACATGCATGAAAGTGTAGGTATGATTTTGATGGTACCTACTTTGTGCTAAACATGATGACGGATAGGTCCATATTGAGTCCACCCCTCCCAAGATCCCAGGTAAGCGATAGCTAGAACCAGAATTGGGTAATAGCCTTTTTTAGGACAGCTAGGTGACTAGGCGCTTCACTTCCATCTAGAATCACCAACACACCTTGATAACCATGCCTTCAGATAAAGTTTTTTTTCTTTTTTAATCAAGTCCCCTAGCCAATGGTTAGAAAACTATACCACAGACCAGACCAGCTGGTCCGACCAGTTGAACCCTGACTCGGGGCCCTAGCCAGTTTGGTCATACCCCCAAAACCGGTCAAAACTGTCAACTCAGCCAGTCCAACAAGGAAACTGGTGAATTGGTTCCGGTTTTCTAATTTTTTTTAAAGGTAAATGCGAACTTCCAAAGGCCGTAACTTTGTGCTCGGTTTGTCTGATTGGGATGATTTTTTTATTTTGGGTAACTTTTTGAGACTACATGTTTTCAAGGCCCACATTGCCTTTCCCCCACTATTTTTTGCCAAAAAAATGCCTTTTTATGGCATGCATCATCATGGTTCGACCTCAGGTTTGAACCCAGTTGACCACTGACCCATGAACCTCTCTCCCTTTTCCAGGTTGATGCTCGGTCCAGTTCTATAAACATTGCCCTTAACTTTAATGCATCAGGATTTTCTAATGCCTTCTTTTATCAGCATAAAAAAAATATATATATATTAAGCAGAAAGCATGAAGAGCTTATGGCTACAACTTTGACACAAAATGAGGAACATTGGAGGGAAAAAAACTAGGAGGAAATTCTATAGGAGAGTCCCAGAGTACACCTCGCATGATGAGACTATCTTTCCGCAACATGTGTTTAACTTTACCCGAAAGGTCAACTTGCATTCATTAGGGGCTGTTAATTCATCAGAAAACTTGCCTTTTCAAAAAGCATACTGCGGTTTCACCTTTGTTGAAATTGAATCAAGCATCTGGAATGCAATTCATGGTTTCCAACTTCTAATTACCTCTAACTTTAATGTCAACGACCAATTTACCAAAACAACTTTTAAACCCTAAATAGTAAATACAAGCTAAACAAATTACCATGGTGACCACCCCTCTTTTTCTGCGAGAATCAGAGGAGAATGTTAAGGATGGATTGAGCGATGCAGGACGGATTTTCTGACCACAGAAATCTCCAGAAACGCTCCCGCCGACGAAGGGAACAACGAGATTGCTGGTTAGAGATCTGACAGAAACCCCACCTGAGCAATTTAGGGTTCGTTTTGAATTTCTACTCCGTGGATGAGGAGATGACACCATTCTAGTGTGAAGGAAGAAATGTGAAGACACGGTGGCAACTTCCATTGAGAGCAACAGAGAGAGATGGCTATAGGCTATAGCATCAGTTAAAGGAAAGAAGAAGCGGGGAGAAAGTGAAGGATTTGAAACTGCAGAAGCCACGAGCTGTGTGCTGTGTTTGTTCGTGTTCCTCCTCTCTCACTGTTTGTCGATGGGCAACCACACCACTCAGCCACCGACTGACGAGCAAAAATTGAGTTGGAAAATGGAAAAGGAAAATTCCACTTTAGTATCCTGTAGTGTGAAGTAGTACAAGTTGGTCCCTGTTAATAGATCGTCAGTTATGTACAATCAAGTTCTAAATATTTGATACAGGTTTTTGATGTATTGATATCATGTTTTATTTTTTTTTTTTTAAAACTAATTCAGAAGGGTCGATTTAAATGCCAGCTGCCTTCTAAACCACAAAGGCTCCGAATCTCCGATGCAATATGTATTAATTGATACATAAAACTTCATGTACAACTTTAAATTTTTGTAAATATCAAAACTACCCTTAAAAAAAAGATATTATTCATTATTTTTCCGTCTTAAAACTAAACCGGTGAAGGTGATTGAGAACCAAATCAGGCCAATCCCCACCTTACTTTTGTTTCCTGTTATGGTAGTTGGTTCAGTTCATAACAAGCTCATGGACACCCAATGTAGCGCTCCTCTCACCCCTCTCTCTTCTGCAGGTTCTTTTATTTGGCTTCTCCTCAAAAGTCCAGTCTCGTTGATCTTCTCCTCAATTCTCACCAAGATTCATTTCTCGGAGAAGTGGAATTGCAAATGGCATTTATGTCTAGAATAGAGCCAAATCTATGAAATTGAAATGAACTCTTTTCCCGTAAAATATGCGCTAAATAAGACAGACAGAGAATCGGTATAATAAAAAATCACTTTAAAAGATTTAAGATTAATGATAAAAGAATAAATAAATAAAGCAATATAATAATATTGATAAATTAAATTAATTAATCATTTTGTACTGTAGTGGTTGAAGTTTGGGAATTCTCCAATTGAAAAGGTGAGAAAACGTCTCAATAAAAAAAAATCACTCAAATTACGGGGGCTTGGGGCTATCTTCTACGGGTTACGGCCATTCCGCCAATAGCCACCCACCCTGCTCGTCCGTCGTCCCCCCGCCCGACCACACTTGACACTATTATGTTCTGTGTGAAAGAGCGGAGCCACCCACCCTAATCTTTGGCGCAGTTGAGAGCGGAACCTGATCCTGGATTCGTGTTTCAGCTTGATGGAGAGTCGGAGTGCAGTCCTCAGGTTTTCCAGATCCGAGGCAACATTCGACAGCCGTCGATGCCTCTGCAACAGCATTCACTAGCCATTACAATGGCCGGAGAGCTGCTGGAAAATGAACTGCCTCTGCTATCATGTCGTTGGCTAGGGTTTCATATTTTAGAGCTTTTAGAACCCTGCTTTACCGGTGATCTGAGAGCGAGAATTGTTTGATTGACTGGAAGAAAAGATTCTGGGAGAAACTTTTGAATTGTTTCTTTTTCCGGCGGTGTTGGACGGTGATTCTGAGCATGGCTGCAGGAAAAGGGAATTTGGAGAGAACTCGGAGAGGCATTCGGACAATTTTCTTCATGTTGACGATGGTAGCGGCACTTCTGCCCTTCTTGGCGCCTCTTCTCGTCGCAATAAGAGACATCTTAGTGCCATCTATATTGGTTTCAAGTTTTACGCCTGTAAGATGCTATAGCTATATTGATAGAGCATTTGATGGTTACTGGTTAGATACCAATCAAAAGAAAATGAGATAATAGGTAAAGGGCATTTTTGTCTTTTAATATAAATACTTAATGTCAATTAACGGTTTTGGACTAATTTGACATTTTTTGAAAGTTTGGATCCTCAAAGTTCAAGTCCAGGGTACTAAAGTGAAATTTTCCCAGATAGAAAATACCACCAAAACTGTGTTGAGTTTGAGCCGTTTGATTCGTGGACAGGAACGAAATCACCTATTATTGACATCCAATTGGTTCAATCAGGAATCAAAATTGGATTTCAATTGTTGTTGTTTGATTCATTTGAAGTTGGATCAGAATTAACTAAAAATTTTTTATTTTCAATTAGTCTATTTATTATTTTATTAATTTATGATTAATACATTATTACTTTAATAATATTATTATTATATTGTTTTTGTTTTGTTATTTTATAATTAATTTATTATTATTTAATAATAATATCTTTTTATTATTAATTTATTAATATTTTATTGTAGTATTATTATTTTATTAATATTTTAATATTATTTTAATTATCAATATATTCTTATCTTATTATTACTTTCATAATATTTTATTATATAATTGTAAATTTTTATTATTATTTCATGAATTGTTTATTAATATTGCATTTGTTATTTTATTATTGCTTTAACTATATTGTATTAATATTTTATTTATACTTTATTATTATTTAATAATAATATCTTTGTTTGTTATTATTAATTTATTAATTTCTATAGTATTATTATTTTGTTAATAGTTTATTATTATCATTATCTTATTATTATTTTAATAATACTATTATTTTATTAATATTAGGGTTTTGGGGTTTTTTTATTATGAATTCTTTACTTCTTAGCAGACTTTAGAATGGAAATGGCATTCCCCCATTATGTAAGAATCCTATTCCACCAAAAATGGGAATCGAAATCTCATTCCAACCAAACAAACGGTTGTAATTGGAATGAGCCATTCCGGAACTAAACAAACCCTGACTGATAAGTCATTATGATCATAAGGTTTTAACCTTTGGGGTGTGAGGTTGAGGGTTTATCATTTCTAGCCTAACCGGCAATTATAGATATAGAGGTGCATGAGTTTAAAAACCCAGAACATGATGAAGCTATGTTTGGTAAAAATAAAATCCAAAAATTGAAAATAGACTTATACGAGTTGTAAAATCAATTTTTCTAAGCCAACTAAGAACCTTTATCTCCATTTCCTAATTAGCTCAATATATTTTACAAAATCTCTCTTTCTTTACACCTTAAGTTTCTCACTCTCTCTACCCAAATAACTATTCTCCTAAACTCATCTCTCTCTCTCTCTCTCTCTCCTAAGAGCATTCCTGTCCTATTGAGACGTCTCCTTAATAAAAAACAATTCTAAAATTCCTCTTTATCCCCTCTCTCCTAAAACCTCTCCGCACTCCTAATTTATTGTTATTCATAAAGTCCTAATTCCTAAAACCTCTCCTTATTCCTAAAATACTGCTCATAACAAATCCCCACTTCCTCAAAGACATCTCTCTCTCTCTCTCTCGGTTGCCAATAGTCCGGCCCATTTACTTTGAATAGTATACTACCTATTGCTTATAATTAATAATTTCATTTTATTATAACCCATACCAAAATGAATTAATTGTTTTCGTTATTAATTAAAAAATCCCAAAGAATATTACTATTTTTAATAATTAATAATTTTCACTTTAGTAACATTTTTTGGATTAATTACTAATATTGTCAACAATTTAATAATACCTTACCAAAATTAATTAATTCTTTTTAGGATTAATTGAAAAACACTAAAATTCACTTAAAATCTATTATTTATATCCATGATTTATTAAAAATTGCCAAAAATTAATACCAAAATATATTACTATTTTTAATATTTAATATTAGTGATATATTAATAATTCATGATCAATTAATTAGTTATATATTACCAACAAATTAATTAATTACCAATAATAATTATTTTTTTATTAATATTAAAATTTAAAAATTAATAAATATTTCATTAATAATTAAATTAACTATTATTAATGTTAATAATAGTAATATTTTATAAATTAATAATTATAAAATTTATTAATTCATAATTTAGAATTATTAATTATAATTATAAAATTATTAATATTTTTTTAAATATTAATTATAAAAATTAAAAAATATGTATTAACTATTTTTTTGAGTAAATAAAAAATACCATAAAATATTACTTTTATTAGTAATTAATATTACTATTAGTAACTATAAATTAAAATTAATGTTATTAATTACTAGTGGGGACCCTGCGATGCATGAGTTTTGTTAAAAGAATTTGAGGCAAAAGGAGATAGGGGTGTACCTTGGGTTGGGTGGGCCTAATTCGAGCCCAACCTAGTTCAACCCAAGCTTTTGCACAAGCTGAGCTTGAGTTTTTGAACTTCAAGTTGGGTTTAGGCCAAGAAAATTAAGGCTCACCTAAACTCAGGTTGGCTTTGGGTTGAGCCCTCGAGTAATTTAAGTGTGACCCAGTTCAATTTGAGCCTATGCCAACATTTTAAGATATACATATCTGTATATTATCAATATATTCTACTTGTAAATTGGGTTATAAAGCTCAATACACCCAAGCCCAAGTCTAGCCCAAGATGTTAGGTTAAGTTTGGGTTGGGCCTAAGTTGGTAAACTCGGGCCTGGGTTAGTAAATTATCAGTTATTATTGAAAATTATCACTAATTTTTCTCTTACCAATTTAGGCCTAACCCGACCTTTAACCCAACATCTTGAGCTAGCCTTGGGATTGGACCTGTTGAGCTTTGTAGCCAAATTTATAGGCAGAATATATTTATAATATGTAGATATGTATATTACAAAATGTTGGGCAGGTTCAAATTGGTCGAATTAGGCTTGGGCTATTCAAACCCAACCTAAATTTAGGTTAGGCTTGAGTTAAGCCCAACTTGAAGTTGAAAACTCAAACCCAACCTATACAAAATCTTTAATAGAGTTGGATCGGGTTAAGACTACTCAAGCTGCACCCCTAATTTCTTTTCCCTCAAGTTCTTTTAACAAAGCCCATACATCACATGGGTCCCCACTAGTACTAAATATAATGTATTCAATGGCATAGGATGAAAGGCCTAAAACTCGACCCAGCCCAGGTCCAATTAGAGATCACCATGGATGCTTTGTTTATGTGAGAAGAGCTAACTACTCACTCCCAGCTCAGATCTTTGTCGAAGGGCTTCGTTCTAGGACTTCCGTTCCGTCTGGCCTTGTATATAATATCCCCAGTTTTCTATCTAGGAATTTGTAACTGAGTTTGATGGTGAATGGAATTTGCCTTGTAGTGTTTTTAAAATAATTTTTTTAAGGTTGGAAAAATGTTGAATTAAATTGGTTGACATGGTTAAATCATGCTTGGTTTTTGTAGTAGATGATCCTCGTCCATTGGTGCAGTGAGACCCAAAATGTCAACAGATGGAGAGCTAAAAGAGACAACCTTAATCAACCATGTTTAGTTTAAGCCCTCAAAGCCTAAATAACATGGGAAGAGTGAGTGGTAAGTAGAGTCTGGCAGCCAGGTCTGGTCTAGTACATATTTGTTGGCAGTTAGGCACTACTAGGCACCACATAAGTGGACCAGTAAATAAACACTTTTGTGTTAGGGTAATCATTAAAATGAAGCTTCCCCCAACGGTTGATTGGTGTTTATTTATTGCTCCACTTATATGGCGTCTAGCTATCAACAAATACCAGAAAAATGTTTATCAATCATTTTTTCTTAATTTTGAAAACAAATCAAGTACAAATGTTTATTTAATAAATGCCCACAGAATCAAACATATGCTTGGTCTGGCTGGATTGGCGCTGCATAGTCTTACCTAATTGGTAAGGTATCCTACTGATAGTAACCAAGACTTAGGATCAAATCCCGCCTGCACCAAGGTTAGGATGAACACAGGTCTGCCTGAACCAAATCCAAACTCGATCAAACTCCAAAATAGAGACCAGCCCAACCTTAGAGGTCTGGACAGGGAAATTCTGGCCCAATATATACAAGCTACGGTCCAAGCAAGATTGCTAGATATGAACTCTTTGGTTATATGGGTTTAATGGGTTCAATGCTACATAACACAACTAATGTTTTTGTTTAGCAAAACTACATAATTAATGCTTGATTGTGAGTAAAGCAGGCTTTCCTACGTGTCAACTAATTAACAGAATCAGAAACATCAAAATTTGAAGTGAAGTATTTTCTGACGACCCAGAACTAGTTCTCAAACCTTAGCATCTAGAGCACATATATAAAGCTCAATCAGGCCTTCTCATGTGTACTAGCTATGATAAATCACTTTCCCTCAATTTCAGAAGATGTCTCCTCCATTTGTTGATTCAGAGCCCGTCTCCATGTCTCCTCCATTTGTTGTTTTTGGTATGAGCTTTTTGGCCTCCTTTATCCTTCCCCATAGAAAAGCATAGAGCCCAACTATAATCATAAACATGCCAATTAACCTGCAAATTACATCAAATCCTGTGGTCAGAGACTTCAAGTGTTAGAGAAAAGAAACTATAGATGGATTAGGGTTGTATCAAATTGCAGGAGGGAGAGATACTGACGTCCCAATACTAATAGCCTGGCCGAAGAAAAGGAACTCAGAGAAAGCCACAAAGATGAGGCATAACGGACCGAACATGGGGGGATAAGTTGGTCCCTGATTGGTAATTACCCAGGAGACAATGCAGAACTTGGCACCTGTGCCCAGTGCTCCCTGTGGCATTAATCAACATTAGAGTGAGAATTGCATTAAGCATCTTTTAGGTTTAGTTTGGGAAGACTACAAATACATACAAAATAATATAGAATACAAAGTTTTGCGCTTCACATATTTGTATTTGCACTCCTTCCAAACTGAGTCTTAAGAAAAAGAGATTTGTTGCAACTTGAAAGGGTAGATAAAATGGACATGGATTGAAGTAGTAAGAAATGATTTAGAGGGTGTTTGACAACGTGGTCGCTAGGTGTGGATTTGAGCCAAGCCGAGCCGAATACTTGGCTATTCGAGCTTGGCTTGCTGAAACTGTGTTAAATAAAAAAAACATACATATAAAAATTGTTTTTATTTTACATACAAAAAATAAGAATTATAAAAATTATTTACTATTACACATAAAAAATAAAAATATTATATATAAAATGTTATTATATAAAATAAAAATTATATATATATATATATATATATATATATATTATACTAGGCTCGTGAGCCTTACGAACCGAGCTTCACTAGGCTCGAACTCGGTTTAAACCAAGCCAAGCTTTTTACAAGACGAAATTGAATAACTCGTGAAAAGCTCGACTCATGGCCACCCCTAATGGTCGCATAAATCAAACACCCCCTTAAACTCTAATAATTTGATAATGGAAAAACAGTGAACAGAATGGAATGATGAAACAGGATTTATTCCAATTTTAAAACGCGGCCACAAATCATTTATACACACTTGTCATATGAAAATAGGTCATTTCATTGCATGTTTGTTTCAAAGTATCAATTCTCTGGAACTCGCAAAAATCCTGTATCCAGAGTTTTTAACATACAATACTCTTTTCTTTTTTCAGTTTGATAAATTCACAAATATATTAAGATAGATATTAACAATATTTAAACCTATTTAAAGGCCCTAACTTAGTGTCTCAATGACCCTGAAAACCGATATGTATTGATACTTGGAAGCATAATTGCATAATAAAATCCAAAAAGCAAAGTAAATCTGTTAATTCTGAAGAGAATAAATGGAGATTAAGAGGATGCATGCATTTACTTTATCATATCAGAACCAAATAAAGTATTTGATTCTGTGGCTTCCAAAAGCTCCAACATTAGTTGACTATATGATTTTGATCTGGCTTTACCAAAAAAAAATCAAAGGAAGGAATCATATATATACCGAGTAAATTATTGTAAGTAGCTCCAAATTCCATCTTAACTCCCATGCAGCCTTGCTTCTATTTATCAACAATCCTACCACAGTCGATTGCAAGCACCCTACAGCGCAAGTTAGCGTTGTTGCCCAATATTTTGAGGGGTATACTTTGAACAGTCTTACCTGTACAACAAATACAAATTAAACATAAATTATATTAATCTAAATACGATATATCGTTATAAAAATTTGATGTAGGTCATAAAAATTAAATTTAAATATTATATATCGTTAATATTTACTTGTATATATGTATAATACGTACTCTTAGACTAGTTACATTAATGGTGTTTCTAATGCTACAAGTTAATTAAATAACATCTACTAGTGAAACATTTATAGCCTAAACTCATGTTTCAAAAGTATTGATACAGATGATATATGCAAAAAATTCCATGTCACACGGTTCTAAACATCTATATGAGATGAAAACTAAAATCTTTCAGAATGATTTTTTGATTTCTACATTTTATTTTTTTTTTTCAAATATGCAGTATTTCGTGTATCGCCCACCCCGTAAACAATATGTATTTATACTTTGAACCATGGTTCAGAATCAAGAAATTAGCCTTGGAGTGAAGAAGAAAAATAAAAACTAAAGGGATTCAACTAGATGAATTCTTGCAAAAGAATGAAATGGAACAATTGGGAACCATAGTCTCTACTAGACTGAAGAGATCAATATGATAGAGTAGTCTCATACCTGTAATACATACCAAAAAGAGACGCTCAACAAACTGCCAAGGAGCATGAGTGAACCACGAGCCCAACTGTTGCTGTAAGCTTTGATGATGGGGTGGTTCTGGGAAAGAGATGGGCGAATGTGAAATGTCTTTCCCTTGTAAAGACTGAAAACTAATGCTCCACCAACACAAAGTATCACTCCTCCTATCTTCAACCTCCCTTCTTTGCTTCTCAATCCCAATTTCTCTATCCTTTTTGCACCAAACAAGCCATAAAAGAAATTAGCAGTAGATGCTAGATAGTTTCGTCAACATGCGTAACTATGAAAGAGTGGTTTGATCAGCTGAGAACCTTCCATTTTTCTCTTTATTGACCAAAAATACCCTTGACCCAGTTCATGAATTGGTGTGGTTTTTGACTTGTTTTAGGAATTTTGTTTCACATAATAGTGAAAAGGATATCCTTGTTTGCCCCAAAAGAAATTACCAGTAGATAATGACAACATGCATACTGCTAATCAAAATGGCAAATGTAATGGGAAGAGTGGTTTGGTCAGTTGAGAGCTTTCCATTTTTCCCTTTATTGACCAAAATACCCTCGACCCAGTTCCTGAATTCTTGTGGTTTTTGACTTGTTTTGAGAATGAGGTTACGGTTTACTTACCCAGCTGTCACAGACATGGCGAAGGTGACGATAGGAGCCATATTGAGGAAACTAACGCTATATGTGGCCGAGGTAGCTGCCAGCCCATAGTAGTACAACCCCATTCCAATTGTCACCCTATGGAAAAACACAAAATGGGCCCATCGAGATGGCCCTACTACGTAAGAAGGAATGAATTGTGGACATAGGTTAGCACAAAGTAGGCCCATTTGAGGGGGTCTTAAACGTCAAATCGGACCCATTTCATCATTTACCCGCATAAGGCGTTGGTGAAAATCCAAAACGAAGCAGCCCAACTGATCCTTCTTTCCATACCTCTATTCAGAATTTGAAATTAAAACAGTGAAAAGAGAAGAAACAATCACATACTCAGATAGAAAATGAATATATGAAAGAAAGGAATGAAGAAACAAAGAATAAGGGAGGGGACGAGAGTACTTCTCCATGAAGAAGGCAAATGGAGCAACGAAAATGGCTGCAACCAAATGCCTGTAAGCAATCACAGCAAAAACGAAAGACCCTTGACTCAGTATCACACGCGACAACAGTTGCAGCCCCGTCAGCGCCACCTCTACAAACACCATGCCCAGCGCCCACTGTGATTTCTGAAGCCAACCCTTACTACCCATCTTCTCTCTCCCTCTCTCTCCACCGAAACCAAAGGACTTAAATAGCAGAAATGAGAGAGAGAGAGAGAGAGAGAGATGGGCAAAGTTTTAAGCATAAAAATGGCAGAATTTTAAGCAAAGAAGTTAAGAAGGTGAGGGTGAGTTAATGTGGTCATTGAGAAAAGAATCGTGAACTTCTAGTATAGATGTCGACAGCTATGGAATTCAATATCATTCTTTTCCTTTTTCATTTGGAATGCACAAATGGGAATATTATACAACATTCTGAAAGAAGGGTTGTTATTGCAGCAGAAAAGGTATTTACCCAATTGGGTGGATCTACTGTTACTCCACTTTTTGCTGTTGCCACTACTGTGGCCCCATTTTGTTAATAAGATCATTCCACTGACATCCATGGCAGCTCCTAAATTCTATTATTTTTTATCTATTAATTTGGTGGCAGAATTGCAGTCATTTAATGATTTGCCCAACTTAAACAAAGTCAGTATAATCATCACTACTCACTAGGGAAGGGGGTTCAAGTTGATTTGGGTGGAAAGGGATCCAATGTAACATAAAAACCCTTCTCCTTAACCTGATGTGGTGGTGGGCACACTCTCACAAAAGCCCTCCTTCCAAATTTCAAGTGTTCCCCTTGCATCTCCAATGCCAAACACCCCCCATCAACCCACTCAATCTGTGACCGATGGCCATGTAGTTGAGATAGTCACTCCACATCCCTCCCAAAATGGAGGCATGGGACCTAACCTGTATAATGGCAGTCTCATTGTGGTAGGGCTAATAGACCTCATGTGCACCCTTCTCTGCCCCCTCCTGAATCCCCAATTATGTAATACCACAAAAACAAAAAAAGAAAGAAATTCAATCTCTCACTTTGTGTTCATGGATGGGATGGTGTAGAGCATATTATTGGTTGGGCAAACATCCTATTGAGCCAATCCAAATTCAACAAAGTAATCGATGGGTGAAGACAGGAGTGGTAATTCTAATACTTCACTCAGTTACATTTCTGCCATCCTTTTCAAAGGCGCATCATGCATCATGCATTATGATATGCATATATTTGACATTCTTTCTATTGGTATACTATTCAAATCAAAAGTGAAGAGATATAATTATTTTGGGGCCACCAAATAAGATTTCAAGTCAGACCTGATGGATACTCATTAGCGGAATCCATTGTTGGGATCTCAATTGGAGAGTACCTTCGTGTTTGTTTGTAAGTACAGACAACTCTAAATGCAGCATGTGGTCTGTTTTTTTGGTAGAAAGCAAAGCAAAGGCCATACGACATGATAAATATATATGGCTCCCCTCCAACCAAATGCATACATATTAATTTTAAAGTTTCGGGTAGGAGCCAAGTAATGTGAGTTGGGATTTCCTGCACTTGGTTTCGTGTATGCCAGGGAGCACTGTGGTTCACATGAACATCTGGCTCACATGTGTCATAAAAATCCTAGCTCCACCTACTGAACTAAAAAAAACCCCTAAAATTAAATAGAAAATTTGCCGCGTTTTATTTTTGAGAACTAAAAAATATGTGAATTCATCTTCTTCCCCAACTCGACAACTGGAGAGTGATGGCTGGTTTTACACCCACTATTCCTCTCCTCTCTCGCCCTCTTCCTATCTATTGTTTCCGTTTAATTTGGATTCAGCCACGGTGACCGGAGGAGCAGCAGATCCCCCTTCATATTCTAATTTCCCTAATAATCGGCTTAGACTAGGGAGCTAAGACGGTAATGGTAGTAGACTTGCCATTTTGGAGAGCGAAGCGTGTTGTTCTGATGTGCTGCCGGATTGCACCTCCGGCTGTACTGTGAAGTTGCAGTTGTTGATAATAGATAATGTCTTTAATAATACCCCTGTAGAAACTGAAGCAAAATAAAACAAAGAATATAATCCAAATCGAGAAATGAAATATGCGCAGAGTCGTCGTTGACACAGGTTCTTATACTGCATTACTTGAAACAAGCGCAGTAAGAATAACACAAGGCAAGAAAAAACACAAAGAACGTTAAGCTAGGCCAATAGGCTGTTTTAAATTGTCAACAACCATACAAGATTTTGAAACTTAAATGAAGATTCAATCTACCCAAGCGGTTACTTCCCCATTAGGCACTAGCTCTTTTTTTCTTCAGAGTATTTGTCAATGTTGTTTGATGCCATAGTGAATGATCAAATAAGAGAAAGTGATCTTCTGAGTACCAACTTCTGTTACCCAGAGATGGAAAAGAATTGAAGGGTGTATCCGTGAAGCTGGCCACCGCTCTTTGGCACATGTGAGACGGGTGTGCATGTGAACCACGACGACGTGTTAAAATCCGATTGGAAGTACACCCCAGCATACACCAAACCAAGTGCAGGAATTCGTGTGGGGATGCTGCTTTTTCTTATTTGGAATCCAACAAAACATCTCCCCGCCCGTGCATAAAGAGATTAATAACATGTAGGAGGATGAGATGTTCCCCAGGATGTTAATCCCGACTTTCTTATCCCTGCTGTGCTCTTTTATTTTTGAATCAATTATTTCAAAATAAGAAAAAACCAAGATGCTGGTCAAGTAGCCCAATGTAGTAATATAATAATATTTGCTGGTAGCCCATCCAGAGATTGAATAAACCTGTGGTAGCACATCAGTCTTTGTTTCTCCTTTGATGACATGGTAAATTGGTAACATTGTAACACATCAATCAGTCAAGAAACAGGGATAGGGTTTGACACTGACACAACAACAACAACATCAAAATCCAAAAGCTAAACTAGCATCTGATCCGGTTATTCAAAACTTTAACCCGATTCTCTTTCAAAATTCGTTCAGTATGCATATTTATGTATGTTGTGTTATATTTAGTGAAATTAGACTCTTAACCGGATTAAAAAGGTTAGATGCAAACCCAGAAACCCTAGTACCCAACTTTTGTCATCGCACTACCAAAACTAACATTACCCCACGCAATAGAGGAAAACGAAAACCCCTGGGAAAGCAGTACTGTTTACAAATAGCCAAGCTTCACCGGTAAGCTTGCGGTCATCCACACAATTATTGCTCCTATACAGGTCGATACGATACTGTATAGTGTGGAAGTATCGCAAATACGGTACCCAGAATCTCAATAAGAACAACAACATTTACGGAAAGATATCATGTTGAATAACATCGCCTAAAGCTAAACCGCTACTTAATTCCATTTATTTTACTTCATTTTCGTGTTCTAGTCCAATAACAATAACAATTTTTTATTGGACTTCACCTCTACAGTAATGAATTGTTAATTCAATATATTTTACAGAAGTGGCGTTATGCATTTAAAATTTACATGAACTTTTACTAAAGATGACAATGAACCCCATCCCCCTAGTAAGAATGTAATTTTGATCAGAGAAGTTGATACATTTTTACATTGGTCATCATCCATCAATATATTAAAAAAATAAAATAAATATGGGCAACCATACCATTTCCTAGTATGCAAAGCAATCCCTCACAAGGACTTGTACTGCTCAATCAAATGGGAGGCATGGAGACGCGATGTAGGGACTATAGTGCACCCTAAATTCTGAAGATAAGCTATCTGCAATCAAAAATGATAGTTGAAAACACACAAGACTAGAAATGGTGCTAGAAAAAGAGAGGACCACCAATAGTTGGAAACCAAATGCAGACTTAGATAACATGAACACGTCAAAATAATGAATGGATATGGGAATTGAAAGAAAAATCAAGTCCTATTAGCAAACTATGCTATGATCCGCCATATCAACTAATGTCAGGACGATTTGAAAAACAACTTCTTAAATACTCTTTTTCATTAATCTTATTTCATCCGTAACTACTATAAACAAGCATGGCAAAATCCAAAGACTTTCTTGTACTCACAAGACTCATCAAATAAGAAAAATCTTTTCCTTCTCCAACATACAGCATATCCCTCTAGAAAAGATAATCCGTAGTTCTGTATACATTTATGACGATATTGTAGAATGTAGAGATAGTCGTTCACAAAAATGCTTCAGGATAAAAGATCAGATTGAATGCCAGATCAGCAATAATGTCTACAAAGTATAAACCAAATAAGGGATTTGTTATAAATCGTATTTGGTCCTCAAAGCCTTTGCAGCCGAGCATTGGAAACATCTCCTTGTATATATTTTTTTTTCATGGGGAGATATTCTCATTGCACGGTTGCAAGGGACTGCGAGGACTGTGTGAGGACCAGATCCGATTTACATTTCATGATTGCTTTTCAAAAGCAGTGTATTTTAATGAGTAGACAAAAGGAGTACAAGGTTGGAGAAACAAATAAAAGCAGTGCATTGATGGGTAAGTTAAACGAAAGCTTTTTGGACAGAACCATGGATTAGAGATCAACCTCTAAATGAACATTGTCTAAGTCTGTATTTGCTGGCTCAGAACAAGGAAGATCCTATGAACGAGTATTATGCAAGGCTGGGGAATGAAGGAGTTTTAATGTGAAGGAATCTAAAGTGACTAGGAAAGCTCAAGACCTCCAATGAGTCCTGCTCACATTAGGAGTTTTCTTCAAGGGAGACTGCATCCTGAACCAGAAAACAGAATTAAGA